AATGCCAGCACCCAGTCCACCCATCAGAGTAGTTTTGGAACTCCTGGAATGGCCATTACAGCTGTCATCGTATTATACCCTTGATGTCCTGGATGTTATCAAATGTCTTCCTTTCAATATTTCCTTTATTTTCAGGTAAAGAAAAAAGTTACTGGGGCCTAGACCAGGTGAATAGGCAGGGTGCTCCAACAGTCGTTTGTGGACTGGCCGAAAACTCCCTCCCAGACAGGGCTGCGTGAGCTGGTGCCTTGTGATGCAAGAGCTCCTTCGGGACCAGTTTTGCACACGCCTTTCTCGTGCCAAGATTTTCAGTTAAGATTTTCCTAGCTGTTTTTCTATCGAAGTTTATTTGGTCTGCTATGCTTCTCACAGCCAGCCTATGATTTTGATGCACGATTCGACAAGCTTTTGTCATGTTTGTCAGTTCGGCTCGTTACTGGCCGTCCTGACTGCTCTTCATCAGCGAGGCTTTCTGTCCCCTGAGAAAAACATTTAACCCACTTGTACATTGCTGCTTTCTTCATGGCCTTAGCCCCGTGAACTTGAAGTAACATGTCCTTGATTTCGCTTCCACTCTTGCCAAGTTTAACAAGACATTTCATGTTTGTTCGTTGCTCTGATTCAAACTCGGACATTCTTGCACCGACAGCTCTGATAGCTATTCCAGAAGGAGAGTTCCAGAACTGCTTTGATGGGTGGACTGGGTGCTGGCGCATGACTTCTCAAGGGGAGGACTTTGGAGGTGACTGTAGTGAGATGCAGTGTGGAGTGCTTTTTCTAGGGTGAGTTCGTGAACTTAATTGTTGGACTGCATATTGCTGAGTAGTATGCTTTCATATGAATGGGCCACAGTCTGTTCACCCATTCTGCCAGTGGGCATGTAGGTCACCTCTAATTTTTGGCCATTGTCGGTAATGCCGCTTTAAATATTTTTGTACAAGTGTTTTTGTGAAATTTTCATTTCATTTCTCTTGGGTAAATTATGAAGGAGTGAAATTTCTGGGCTAAAGGGTAGGTGATTATAAGAAGTAATCAGTAGTCGGGTGTGATGGCGCACACCTCCTGGGGAGGCTGAGAAGAAAGGATCACCTGCCCCAGGAGGCCAAGGCTGCGGTGAGCCGTGATGGTGCCACTGCACTCCAGCCTGGGTGGCAGAGAGAGACTGACTCAACAGTCCCAACCATTTGTCAGTCCTAATGCCACACTTGCTGGTGTTAGTCTTTCAAGCTAGCTGTCTAGAACCCGCATGGTGTGCAGGGTTGTCTCACACTGCTTGGACTTCAGCACTTTTCCACTGGTGGTGCATCATGCACACATCTTTCTTTAGAAATCATCTGTTCTAGTCTTTTGCTCACTTGTAAATGCTTTTTCTTTTTTCATGTATATGTTCTGGATACAATTTTTTTAGACCAGGTATATTTTTGCAAGTATTTTCTTAGTCTGTGGGCAATTTTCTTGGTGTCTTTTGATTTTTTTTTTTAATTATTATTTTAAGTTTTGTTTTTTTTCCTGAGTCGGAGTCTCACTGTTGCCCAGGCTGGAGTGCAGGGCACACTCATGGCCACCCCAGCATCGACCAGCTGGGCTCAGGCAATCCTTTCACCTCAGCCTTCCAAGTAGCAGAAACTACAGGTGCGCACCATGCTCAGCTATTTTTTGATTTGTTCTAGAGATGAGGTCTCACCGTGTTGCTCAGGCTGGTCTTGAGCCCCTGGGCTCAGACAATCCTCTCACCTCTGCCTCCCAAAGCGCTGGGATGACAAGCGTAAGCCACCGCACCCAGCCAGAAGTTTTAAATTCCGATGGGCTCTAAGGAATCAGTTGTTTCCTTAAATGTTGTTGCATTCTGTCTCTTGTAGCTCTCAGGTTATAGTCTCCATTTTCTTCTTTTTTTTGAGTTGGATCTCACTCTGTCACCCAGGCTGGAGTGTAGTGGTAGGATCACGGCTCACTGCAGCCTCCAACTCCTGTGCTCAGGCAGTCCCTGCCTCAGTCTCTCCAGTAGCTGGGACTACAGGCATGGGCCACCATGCTCAGGTAAGTTTTTGTCCATTTTTCTTAAAAGCTTTGTAGTCTAGTTAGTTCTCTAATGAAATTTTAGTTTTGTAATGTTAGCCATATGCGAGAGGCTTCTGGAAAACCTCATTAGGGGCACACTGTCAACAATCTTAGACACCTAAAAATTCTCACTTTGAAGCTGACAGTTAATCAGCAACCCACTAGGTGGTAAAATGCCCAGCCGGTGTCATGAAACTCCAACTTAAGTCAGAAGCCCTATCGCCCTAGGCTGTTTGGTCAAGATGCTCGGCCCCATGGAAACTTCCCAGTCGCCTCCTGACCTGGCCCTGCATTAATTCAGGCCACTTGCCCAAACAACGCTTTAACCCGGCCCTGTATGATCAGCCCCCTTCTTTAACTCGGGGCTGACACCATCTGAGGCTCAGCCCGGCAGGAGTTCTGATAAGCTCCGTTCTTTCTCAGGTGGCTGGCTGCGTTCCTCTCTCGGCGGACTTCACAGTTTTACCTTTCTTATTGAGGTCCGTAGTCCATCTCTTATTTCTGGGTGTGGTATGAGTGAGTTTTCCATCGAGACATTCAGTGGTTCTCTCACAACTGAAGTCTACCCAAAGCTTCTATTTTTTTTTTTTTTTTTTTTGCGTTGGAATCTCACTCTGTCGCCCAGACTGGAGTGCAGTGGCCGCTCCCAGCCACCGCCGCCTCAACCTGCTGGGCTCCGGTGATCCTTCCGCCTCAGCCTTCCGAGTAGCCAGAATTACAGGCATGCGCTACCACACCTGGCTGATTTTTTGATTTATTGTAGAGATGAGGTCTTGCTGCCCAGGTGGGTCTCGAACCCGCGGGCTCAGGCAATCCACTCACCTCAACCTCCCAAAGGCGCGGGATTACAGGCTGAGCCACCGAGCCCGGCTTCAAAGCTTCTATTTTGAAACAATTTAAGTCTGTAGAAAAGCTGAAGGACTAGTATAAAAAATACCCTGTGCCCTCCACGTGGACTCACCAGGTAAAGTCTTGCCACACTTGCTTTATTGGTGTGGACTTCCATTTGAAGTGAAGCCATCTGTAAGTGTAGAAGTCAGGGCTGTGATAGTCAGCACTGGGGGACCCCTGCTGGCGCACACCAGTGCCACACCTCGAATGGCCGGTAGGGAACAATCCATTTTCTTGTTGGAGTTGATGGGAATTACTAAACCTGACTATCTACTGGGGAAGAACCTTACTGTGCAGAGTCTTCCAGTGGATGAACATGGAATGTCTTCCGTTTGTTCTGCTTTTTTGGCTTCCTCATCAGTATTTTGTATTTTCTGCCTGGATCCCATGCATGTCTTGTTACGTGGGCAGTTCTGTGTTAGCTCAGCTCAGTTTTAAAAAGATGGATGTGAAGCAGGTATGAGCACAGGCGGCTTCCATGAGGATGCGCCATCTTTGCCTCACTCACAACAGCAGACGTGCCCTGAGGCTTAGTCTCTGCCTCCACGCCTTCTGCCACCTGCTGTCCAGGAGGCAGTTGCGCCTGCCTAGAGGGCTGGTACCTGCCTGATTTAGGCCAGAAAACCCCAAACTCAGTTCATCAGAACCACTGGTGGCAGACTCTATCTAAAAATGCAAATTCTGTGATCTGGTCTGGCCTCCTGAGCCAAACCTCTTTGGGGTGGTGTCTGTGAACACACATGTAACAGATTCCTCAGGTGATTCTGATGGTTCTCAGGTTCCCATTGAGAGGCATTTTCCCTTGGAGCCCGTCCTTCCTTCAGCCGCCTCCTGTTTGTCAGCCCTACCCGCTGGCCTGTGGCTCACTTGTGGCTCATGGCCAGCCCCACATTTCCCCTTCCTAGGCCCTGGCTTAGTCTCCTTGGGACTCATAACCAGCCTTGTGTTCCCCATTTCCAGGCTCTGTGCACCCTGACCCCTCCTTGCTGGAGCCCCCACTTCCCAAATACCCGCCTTTGCTAATCCAGTGCATCCCTCAAACACCAGCCCACGCATGACTTCCTTGGTACCCTTCCTGTTGGAGATGGTTTCTTCCTGCTCTTGCCTGTATCTTTTAGTGACAGCATTTTCTTGTGTGAGTGGGAGTCTCACTCTGTGTCCAGGGTGGAGTGCAGTGGCATACTCACGGCCACTGCAGCCTCAACCTGCTGGACTCAGGCGATCCTTCTACCTCAGCTTTCCAAGGAGCTGGAACCACAGGCGTGTGCCACCATGCCCAGCTGATTTTTTGACTTATTGTAGAGAAGAGGTCTTGTCATGTTGCTCAGGCTGGTCTTAACCCTGAGCTCAGACAGTCCTCTCGCCTTTGTCTCCTTAAGTGCTGGGAATACAGGTGTGAACCACCGTGCCCGGCAGTGATGGCTTTTTTAAATACACTTATAGCATTTCCTCTCTGGGAAGGGCTGAACTTGGACCCCTGACGTATCCAGCCTCACCATGAGCCAGATACTGGCTGAATCTTAAGAACGTTTCAACCTATTTTATTTTTTGTGAGTAGGAGTCTCACTGTGTCTCCCACGCTGGAGTGTAGGAGCATGCTCATGGCTGCCACAGCCTCGACCTGCTGGGCTCAGGAAATCCTTCCGCCTCAGTCTCTGAGTAGCTGGAACCACAGGCATGCACCACCAAGCCTGGCTAATTTACTGAAGAGATGAGGTCTCGCCAAATTGTCCAGGCTGGTCTCAAACCCCTGGACTCAGGCCATCTTCTCACCTCTGCCTCCCAAATGCAGGATCACATGTGTGAGCCGCCGTGCCTGGCTCTAAACTATTTTAATAGTTTTACTAAATGAAAGATAAACTAGAAGTATCTTCAAAATAAAGAAAACAGCATATTCTGTTACAAAACATTCTTGATACAGTCCTCTCAACTGTAATATTTAAAAGTGACTGACTTTTATGATGATTGAAAAGCTATATACCTGGCTTGAAGATGAATCTACTTTCATCTTGGTTTATAATTTTAAGATACAGACCACTTAACAGGAAAAATTAGCTAGGGAATTTAATTTCTTTATTACGTGTAGAGAAACAATCCTGGAGTTTGTAAAACCAAAAAACTTCAATTTTCATATAATCTTATTCAAACACACACAGAAAATACTGATTTCTTACATTAAGTTTTCAAAGTGTCACCTCTGAAAGGCACAGAAGTCAAATGTCCACATTTTACATGATAACGCAAAAGAAAAAACCCAGCCGTGACAAATGCAGGCATTTACAAGCCCCCGCTGGTCCCGAAGTCAGCGTGATGCAGTGGCGGGCTATGGCGGAGGCTCGTACCCCAGCGGGTCCAGCCCCTGGTCCAGGAGTGCCAGGGATGACTCGCGCAGCTGCCGCAGCAGCTTCTGCAGCTCCTCCTTGGAAAACACCTGGTTTTGGGGAGGGAAAGGGTTACAGAGAGCCGGGCATGAGCCAGGCACCTAATCCCGCTGACCAGCTTCACGCCAGGAGCAGCCGGGCTCTGGGACTCGTGGGGCCAGGGGCTGCTAAGCTAGAGTGGCTGCAGCCTCCCGGCTGGTCCTCAGGGCCTGTCTGGACACGCCTACCCGCTCACAAACAGATACACGCTTTGGGAAAAGGCACAAACGCCGACGCTGGACCATCCCGTTATGGAGATCCAAGAATGACTTGCAGTGCAAACACATCTTCCCAAAAGTCAGCCCACGGCACGCGTCCCAGCACCCAGGCATGCCACAACCCCACAGTGAGCGTACCAGGTACAGCTTGTGGCGCTCAGAGGACACCATGTCGGCCAGCTGCAGGCACTCCTGGAACTGGCCGGTGCCGTGCAGGACCGCGTGCAGCAGGAAGCAGAGCGTCGGCAGACACAGCTTCCGCAGCTGGACCATCTGGCGTACGCGCTCGTCGTCGTCCTCTGCATCCTGCAGACAGATGCCAGGGATCGTCTCAGCTACGTGGTCTTAGAGGGAAAAGCCACGCGTGGACCCAGGCCAGACGCAACAGGGCCATAGCTTCTCTAATGCTCTCACGCCCACCAGAAACAAAATAAGGGTGTGATGGCCCACGCGGGAGGCTGGCTTGAGCCCGGGAGCTCAAGACCAGCCTGGGCTACAGGGCAAGACCTCGTCTCTACCGAAAATGAATCTAGCCAGACACAGTGACGTCTGTGGCGCCCAAAGGGTTGGGACTGTGGTGGCTGAGGTCATGCCACTGCACTCCAGCCTGGGCACAGAGCGAGGCCCTGGCTCGAAATAAAACAGAAGGGCTTTGATCACGGTACCTAGATGAGATCGTATGGCTAAAAAGCACAAAGACGAACCAGGTGTGCTACAAGGGTCACAGGGGTGAAAACAAAATCAAACCACTTTGGAACTTGTATTTCCAAGAAACTTAGTATGTTTTGAATAAACACATGCACAGAAAGAGTAAAAAAAAACCGGAACACCATTAGAGCAAAAGTCAGAGTCAAAAGGAATCCCCAGGCCTTGGGCCTACCAGGTCTAGACAGTGGCTCGGGCCAGGACCTGACACAGCGGCCTGTCAGGAGTCCTGCACAGGGCACAGAGGGTGGCTGCACTGCACGTGCTGATTGTAAGTGCAGAAACGGAAGTTACAATTTCCTTGTATAATTTTTAACAACTGAAGAACCTACAGATTCGAATACAATTTACGAGTCAGAACTAACATATCCGAGGAAAACCAAGCATCCCTTTCCACACACGCAGATCTTTCTAGATACTGCGCAGACGGTGGACAATTGGAAGACAGCCCCTCGCCCTCTGTGCTTCCTCAGACACATCCATGTCGGACAAGTGCCCAACCGCACGGCAGAAAGGAAATCTCCAGGACGACAGCGCAGAGCAAGACAAAGAACAGGATAAGTCACAGTAGTTGCGGGTCCTTTGAAAAGCCTGGTAAAATAGAGGGACTGTCACATTCAACTGTGATATGCTTTTCTTTCCTTTTTCTGAGGTGGAGTCTCACTCCATTGCCCAGGCTGGAGTGCAGTATCACACTCAAGGCCACCCCAGCCTCGACCTGCTAGGCTCTGGCGATCCTTCCGCCCCAGCCTTATAAATAGTTGGAACCACAGGTGCACGTCGCCATGCCCGGCTTATTTTTTGACTTATTATAGAGACAAGGTCTTGCCGTGTTGCTAAGGCTGGTCTCGAACCCCTGGGCTCACGCAATCCTCTCATCTCTGCCTTCCAAAGTGCTGGGATACAGGCATGAGCCACCATGCCCAGCTGTGACACGCCTTTCCAAGGCAGATCTGGCCGACGCTGACCGACCATGCAGTCTGTACCATCTACCCGTGGGAGGCGGTGCTGATCTGGGCTACTCTGGGCTGGTTTCCCCGCAAGGGACAGCGCTGTCTGCCGGCCTTGAGATCGTCTGAGGTGGATGTGAAGGACACGCAGCGTGCCTGCACCCTCCTGCGCCGGAAGGGAAGGCGCCTTCACCCCCAAGGCCTCGCTGAGCCCCATCCTTGACCTGCTGCCGCTCTCTGGGCCTGGCCCTCCATGCTGGATGGTGGTGCCTGGCTCTGGGCTTCTGCGTCCCTGACACGCGGCTGCCATATCCTTGCCCCGCTTCTCCTGGCCTGTCTCTCCTGGAAGGACGCACTCTGGCACCACAGACCAAGCACCTTCCAGAACTTCATCTTGGGGCCCTGCAGTTGCCACAAGGAAGAGGAGCCAGACCGCTCTGCTGCAGCCTAATGTCTCAGCTGAGCGAGGAGAAGCCCTGGGCCACCCCACAGAGCTATGGACCACAGTGCCTTTCCACTGGGGACACGTGGTGCCTCGTACACGAGAACCTCAGTGGCAGACACATGTTGCCACGGCAGGGACTGTGCTGACTGACACTGCAAGCGGCCCCAGCCAGTGGCAGTGCACCCACTGCAGTAGCATGCCACTTCCAGGCACCAAGTGTTCCCTGTGAGGGCCAGAGATGCGAAGAAAACAAGACGACCCCCTCCAGACAGGGTATGTCCTAATGGGGCTGAGCACAGAGACAGGCAGGGACGGGGGGATGTGCATATGACGTAGGCACATGCCATCCGGGCAGGGAGGCCGTCCAGAGGACCCTGTGCAGGTGGCTGGGAGAACCCTGGGAAGAGCATTCGAGGCCCAGGGGGACCAGCAAGAGGCCCACAGGCTGACAGCGAGAGGAGAACAGGACACAGGGCTGGGGAGCACAAGGGGGTGTGCAACAGGCGGTCCTGCACACCGAGAAAAATGCACATTTCATCCTCACAGCACCAGGATGCGTGGGAGGCTCTGGCGGGAGAGGATGAACACTCACGTGGAAAAGCCCATGAGCTATCCAGGCAGAAGCAGGGGAGATGGCAGGGCCCGGGGTAGGCAAAGGCAAGCAGCGGAGGCAGGTGCAGACGCTGCCCTCACCCCATCAGCCAACAACATGGTGGGTGCTCTGCCCTCACCCCATCAGCCAACAACATGGTGGGCACCGAAAACGCGTGGCACAGCTGAGGAATAGCCATGACACGGGGCTACAGCACACGGCGGTATGGACTCCACTGGGCTCCACTCAGCCACACACACCTAGTGGAGCACACCTGTGCAGGGTGGGGCTTTTATATTTATCTTTTTTTGAGTCAGACTCTCCCTCTGTCACCCAGGTCAGAGTGCAGGGCATGCTCACGGCCACCATAGCCTCGAACTGCTGGGCTTGGGCAATCCTTCCGCCTCAGCCTTCCAAGTGCTGGAACCACAAGACGTGAGCCACCATGCCTGGCTAATTTTTTGTTTACTGTAGACACAGTTGCTCAGACTGATCTCAAACCCCTGGGCTCAGGCAATCCTTTTGCCTCTGCCTCCCAAAGGGAGGGGCTTTCTAAACTTACACAGGGATGAGGGTGTGAGCAGGAACCCCGCTCCCTACTCCATCGACATGTGAACTCACAGAGGTGACTGCTGAGAAAAGCATGCTTTTCTAGATGAGTCTTGAAGAAATGACTGAGACTGAATGTCACTTTTACAGAGCTGGTGAAACATAATGTGTCACTTAAGCTTTTCATCCGTGTCTCATAAAAGTAGATGAGACCATAGACTGTCTTTTGTGTCCTAATCTACTAAGAATAACTGTCAGAATGACCATGCAAAAATAAGGCACTCAAGCCTTTTCACCATTTAAGTGACAATTCACATTTTGCAGCATTAAGATGTGACCTCCCTTAGCACTGACATGAGTGGGGCAAGACTGTGCTGGGTGCCTGCAGGGGCCAGACACTGGTCGGGGACGTTCTGTGGTGAACTTGGGGCACAAGTGGAGCCTGGGATGGTCTCTGTCAGCAGCAGCAGCGGGAGACTGGGGCTGAGCCTAGGCTCCGGGCCCCACCGCTTGATGCCTCTGGCCAGGGAAGCTAAAAAATTGCGGAAGCTAAAATTAAAGGGAAGTAATGAGGCGAGGAGGGTGGTGGGAAAAAAGGCACCCAGGACACGCCTGGTGTTTCCCCCGCACACCCCTCCCCAGCCACTCCTGAGATGGCTCCTGTCGCACCAGGGTCAGGCTTCTCCCCTCCTTCCCCAGCCACTCACCAGCCCCGTGTGTCCAAGGCCTGGCAAACGCCACCCCTTGAGCACTATCCAGATCCCTCTGGGCAGACATGTCTTTTCCTTGCTTGAACTTAGAAAGGACCTGCCCTGGGCTCTTCTGTGGCATCTGTTCTCCTGCGACTGGTTCTTGACCAGTCTGCAGACCAGTCACACCAGAGCCTTGGGGGCACTTGCATTGCCTGTCACGTCTGCCAGGATGAGCAGACAGACAGCTGAGGCAAGAGCCACCGCCTTGCCCTGACCCCACTGCATGCTGTCACAGCTCAAATGGAGTCAGGCACATAAGTAACTACAGTTTTAGATCTAGGACTTTTCCAAAGTAGATTTTCGTATCCTGAGTGAACATATTAAACGTAAGTACTAGTTTACCCAAGATTCAAATATCCCTATTCCCTGGCTAGTACTTTCATTTTAGCCTAAAATATGGATTTGTAGTTAAACCGCACAGATTATGTAAGACTGGAAGATGCTCCTATTCGAACAACACCTGAGAAAACACAGAGTGGAGCCGGGTTCGGTGGCTCAGCCTGTAATCCTGCACCTTTGGGAGGCTGAGGTGAGTGG